AACTGAAAGAAGGGAAGTGTGGTGAGAGTGGAGGGATGGAGTGTGAGAGGTGAGAAATAAGGCCAGAGGAGTAGGGAGAAAACAAAATTTATTAACTGGACAACTATCTGATGACTGTTCATTCTGTACCATTCTCTTCTGAGTTCTGGGGATACAGCATGAACAGACCAGGCAAAACTTCCTGTTCTAATGGAACTTAATACTTTTTGGGGAAAGATACACAATAAACCAGGTAAACAAGTAACATATGGTATGTTAGTGATAGGTGCTGAGGAGGGGGAAGAAGTAAGGAAGGGACATAGAATAGCCAGAGAAGCCTTACTTGGAAAGGAAAATTTAATTTCAGGCAGAGGTTAACAATGAGTGCAACCGTTGAGGCAGCTTGCCTGGCATATTTGAGAGCAGCAAAGAGTTGGAGTAAAGGAAGTTAGAGTGTTCGTAGTAGGAGATTAGGTTAGGCGGGGACCTAGGTCATGTAGGGCCTTTATCTTTTGGCTTTTATTCTGAGTGAGATGGGAAGCCATTGGAGGGTTTTGAACAGAGGAGTGATATGATCTGTGAGGTTGCCGTGTTGTACCATTTCACGGGGCACTGGTCACACAGAATTTCATGTAGAGTTGTGTGGTGCTGTAGTCCTGATCTGACTGTGGCTTAAAAGGATTACTCTTTGCTGGTGTGTTGGAAATGGACTGCAAGGAGAAATAAGGTAAAAGCAAAGAGATAATTAGGACGCTGTTGCCATAATTCAAGTAAGAGTGGTGGCTTAAATCAGGGTGGAAGCAGTGGGAGGTGATCTAATTCTGGACATGTTAGATGGTAGAGTTGTGGGATTTGCTAGCTAACGGAATATGGGGTGGGGAAGAGAGAAGAGGACTTTTTTTTCTTTTTTTGAGAGAGAGACAGAGCATGTGAGCAGGGGAGGGGCAGAGAGAGAGTGGGGGGGAAAGGAGAGAGAGAGAATCCCAAGGAGGCTCCATACTGCCAGCACAGAGCCTGATGTGGGGCTTGAATTCACGAACTGTGAGATCATGACCGGAGTCAAAGTCAAGAGCCAGACGCTTAACCAACTGAGCCACCCAGGCGCCCCAGAAGAGAACTTTAACTTGAAATGTGGAGTTGCCATTAAGTGAGATGGGGGAGACGTCATAGGGAGCAGAAATTTAGAAGCTTGATTTGGGACATGTTAAATTTGAAACCCTTACTAGACATCCAAGTGGAAATGCTTAGTGGGGCATTGGGTATACATGTTTACAGTTCAGGAGAGAAATACGGGCTAGACTAAATTTATATGTAGGGGATATATATATATATATATATATATATATGATGTATATATACATATGTAAGACGTACGTGGGCTATATGTAGTGTTTAAAGAAAATATTTTTTTAAAGGACGGTACACATTGATGTGTGATCTCCTTTTTCATGTAACAGACCTTTATGAACCAAGTTGAGGATCTGGGACTTTTATTCTAAGGATAGTATAAGCCGTGACAGATTCAAGCTAGAGGAGATGCATAATTTGGCTGCTGAGAGGAAGATGAATTACACAGGGCCCGAAGCAAACGTTGGGGGAATGTGATTAGGTTTTATAGTAGTTTGGTGAGTTAAGGATGACTTGGACTTGGGGGTGGGCACTGGGGATGGAGTGTGTTCGGGTTAATTATTGTTCTGCAACAGACCATTCCAGACATAGCATAAAGTACAATCATTTTTATTCTGTGGGTCAAGAACTCAGACCAAGTAGAGGTGGCTTTTGTCTGCTTCACGATGTCTGAGTCCTCATCTTATGAATAATTGAAGGGCTGAGGTGACGTAGAAGGCTGCAAGCTTCTTCACTCACATGTCTGCTGCCTGCACTCGGATGACTCAAAGACTGAGTTCAGCTAGGACTGTCAAACAGGGTACCTACACGTGGCCTCTTCATGCATCTTGGACTTCTCCAAACCTGCACACTAGGTTAGGTTGGGAAGCATTTGGAAAGTGAGCATTCCCCAAGACCGAAGCAAAACCACAAATCCTACACTGTCACCTCTGCAATGCTCCCCTGGTTAAAGCAAGTCAGTATAACCAGCCTACATTAAAGGGGAGGGTTAGACTCCACCTCCTGGGAAGAGATGTCAAGGTCCCACTGCAAAAAAGCATGAGGCATAAGAGATGTTGCAGTTATCTTTAGTTAGTGTATTCCAGAGAAGGAAATGACACCATTCAAGGTGTATTTAAGAGGTAGACTTGATAAGCCTTGGGGAATAATTGAGTTAGGATATGAAAGAGGAATCAGGGATTCACTTATTTATTCTGCAAATATTTAAGTACCTATTATATGCCCGGCACTCTTCTGAGATGATTCTGAGAAATGAATGGGATGATGTGGCCAGTTTTAGAAAACAGTGCAGGGAGAAGCAGATATGATTAAATTCGCTTTTGAATATATTGAGTTTGAGGTACTTGTGAGGTGGCATCCCAGTAAAGATTTTCAGAAAGCAGTTGAATATAATGCATCTAGAATATAGAAGATGAGAATTAGTAGAATAAATTTGGGAATTATCAGCATAAGGTAGGAGAAGAAAAGACAGTTGTCCTGAGAAACATCAGTATTTAATGAACAGCTAGAGGAGAAAGAGCTGGTAAAGATGATTGAAGAACATCCAGAGGAGAAAGAAAAACAGGGATAGTGGCTTTGGAGAGTCTTAGGAAAGAGAGTGTTTTAAGAAGAAGAGGGTGATGGTCCTCATAAGAGATTCAACCGAGAATTCAAATAAAAACATGATCTAAAGATGTTCATTATTTTTACCAATCTACAGGTCATTTGGAATCTATATTGAGAGCAGTTTTGAGGAGTACTGAGTGTAGAAGCCAGATTGGAATTGGTTCAAAAGTTAAAGGAAAATCAATGTGTTGATATATCTAGGAGTTTGACGATAAAGGGAATTAAAAAGAAATGATAATGGGAAGTAGCCTTCCTATATACCTTGCAGTTTGGTTATAGAGGGAAATCAAAAAAAAAAATCATAATGGGAAGTAGCCAGCCTAGAGAGAGGCATGGCTAAATAGTAACATTTTATTTAGTCGTTTGTTATATCATTATATATTATTAATAACTATTACATAATTAGCAACATGGTTTGGGGGGAAAAAGCCCTCCCTCTGGAGACTATAGATTAGATTGAGTTCTAATTCCTTCTCTAAGCCTCTCAGTAGTTCTGAATTAGTAGTGCCTTAAATAGGAGATAGGACATTGCCATCGACATAGAAAAACAAAAAAGATTAGGTCAATGCAGGTGAGTTTGTGGCTGTGTATTTGGGAAATTGAAGTTATTCGTTACGTCTGTACTTAGCCTTTTGCTTTCCTTATCCCAAAATCAATTCACTTCTTTGCCTACACTGAAATATTAATGTTTGTGAATAATTTTCTGAGAAAGAAAACATGGGAGATGGAATGTGGGAGCTATTTTAGTTCATATGGACAATCTGAAAAGATCCTTAAGATATACCCTAAGATACAATTGCGTATATCGATAGAAGACAACATGATATAGTAAAAACTACCCTGGGCTAGGGAGGGGTTGGGGATTTAATTCTAATTTTGCAAATTAGTTTTATAACCTTGGGCAGATCACTTATGAAGTATAAAATGGAGCTTGTGGGGCGCCTGGGTGGCTCAGTCGGTTAAGCGGCCGACT